TCTTATCCTTAACAGAGAGAATATTAAAGCATCAGATAAAAGAAAAAGTTCAAAGACTTTCAATGAAAGAACAATAAAAACAACTCAAGATTTTCCCATTGACATTAAAGGAATTCAACTTCCTCAGCAGGTAAATCCTCTGCTGACCTTTCTTGACAATAGACTCTGTGTTCATATTGAACTTCAGTTTACAGTCAGACACAGCACCCAGGTGTTTGTAAGACACCACAATCTGAACATTTCCACCATGAATGACACTGACCTGATGATCACTGTGAAACCTAAAGTCAATTATCATGTCCTTGGTTTTAGAAACATTTAAATCGAGCTAACTGCCATCTCACCATTTCACAAAATCGTGTAATGCAGGACCATGATCACTGTCAGAGCGCTGCAGTAAAGATAAGAGGACAGTGTCATCAGAAAGCTTCACCAGATGCCTGTTGACTTGAGAAGATCTGCAGCTGTCAGTATACAGAATAAATAATAAATAAGAGAGGTGACAACACACAACCTTGAGGAGAGCCAGTGGTAAAAATGGACATGTTACACATTTGTCCATTGACAAAGACCTGCTGGACCCTCTCAGTGAGAAAATTTATAATCAGAATGAGAAGCTCGTGTGGGAGATTAAAGTAAGAGTCAAGTCTCTCAATTAAAATGTGAGACTGCATTTTATTGAAAGCAGAAGAAAAATCTGCAAATACAAGTCTTGCATGAGCTCCAGGTGTTTCCAAGTGTTTGTGCAGAGTGTTCAAAATAAAAAGCTTAGCGTCCTCCACACTTTTACCTGGCTGGTAAGTGAGTTGCAGAGGATCCAGTTTTCCTGCTACAGAACACACAACAAAGTTCTTTATAATTTTCTCAAAATTTTTCATTACCAGTGAAGTAAGTGCCACTGGTCTGAAGTCTTTCAGTTCTTTTGAATCCTTTGACTTGGGGACAGGTATGACGGTTGACGTCTTCCAGATTATGGGAATCTGACCCAGATCAGCACACATCTGGAAAAGTCTAGAGAACACCCCACTGAGCTGATCAGCACAGTGAATGAGATGTATGATGAGACCGTGTCACAGACATCATTCATGTCATCACTACATGCATCAAAGAAACATTCCCAGTTTGTACACTTGGAGCAGGCCTGAAGAGAGGAGATATTGTCCGCAGACCAGCATTTCACTGATTTCTCCACACGCGGGAGCTGCCTGAAGGTAGATGTGTACAGAGGCATCACATACACACTGTTGTGGTAGGAAGATCCCAAAGACGGCAGCAATCTGTAAGCAGGCTCACAGAGCCATAACACAGGTCTAAGGTAGAGTTCCTCTGTGTGGTGGCACAGGTCACATACTGTTCATAAGTCCTCAGAATAGTGTTCAAACAGCAGTAATTAAAATCACAAAGGACGAATTTCGGAGCATCCGGGCATATGGTGTCAAGACGGCTTGTTACGTCAGCAATCAGCTGAGCAGCAGCTGATGTGTTAGCACGAGGGTGGATGTAAACAATGGTGAAGAACAGTTACTGAAACTCCTGAGGCAAGTAAAAAGGCCGGAGTGAGATGGTCAAAAGTTCAATGTCAGGGGAACAAATCTTCTCCCGAATCGCGACAGTGTGACATAGTGTGACACACTACCTCCCCGTCACGTGTTGGTGATCTCCGGTGACCGGTCCAGTCGGAGCGGAATGCCGAACCCACTAAGAGACAGATCCTTGTCCCAATCTGAATCACTTAGCCAGGTCTTGGTGAAGGCCGGTAAACAGGTACCCCTCACTTCGTGTTTAAATTTGGCCCAGGCCTCCAGCTCATGCAACTTGTTGCAGAGAGACTGCTTTTCAGAGCAGAATCGAAGGAAGAGCAGGTAGCTTGCGGCGGTCATGAAGGCTCATATTCTTGAGTCTCCGACGAATTCCACCTCTTTTCCCTCTTTTCTGACGAGTGGGTTTGGCTCTAGCATCGGTTCTGCTGAGCTCCGACGAAATATTCACTGGCACAACACTGTTACTTGTCTGAAGTTACAAGAGAAACTCCCGAGAGCATGTAATCCTGCCGTCATTTTTACTCATTACCTTCATGGCTGTTTTCACTAATTTCTCCAATTTTGATTTGAACTGTTCAGTGAGAGAACCAAACCAGGCAGCCATCCCATATCTGATCAGACTTTCCAGTACAGCATTATAAAAAAACACTCAAGCAGAGATACAGTCCATGTTGACGAGCCAACGAGGTTAAGACAACATGACATGCAATCGATGGACCGGAGTAAACATTTCATTTAATTTAATTTATTTATTCATTCCAATCTAAATGACTGGAAAGGAGCAGGATGAAGTAACCTTAAAATACCTGCCCCTTTCTTAAGGCATATAACTGCTTACATCAGATAAGTTGCCATTAAAGAAACAAACAAATTCACAAAGTTTACAGCAGCATCGGCACTCGTGCTCGGGTCGCCAGCAGAGCAGTGCCACCGGAAACACAAGATGTGTGATACACATATACACACCACATACACACATACACATATACAGTATACATGTCTGTACAAACAGTATGTTTGTTTATATATACACACACATCTATATACATATATATGTATATATGTATACATACGTGTGTGTGTGTGTGTGTGTGTGTGTATACACATATACAGATCTTAATATATAGCAATATGTGATGTACATACAAACACAGATATGTGTTTATTTTGTGTGGATGTCAGATGACGTCAAGGTGATGATGTCACAGTCACTAATGATGTCACAGTCACTGATGATGTCACAGTCACTGATGATGCCACAGTCACACTGAACGATATCATGTTTTTCATGTCCGATATAAAAGTCATTGTTGTAGCAACGCAAACGTACTTTGTATTAGGGCTGTCAAAATTGCTCAAAAATGACGTTTGAATATTTGTTCTAAAAATAACTCCATAGGTTCAAACCATTCGAATATTTTTTTTTCCGCATTATGTCCACAAGAGGGCAAACTAATACAAGGAAACATAGGCTACTTGTATATGTATTAATACAAGGAAACATAACTACTTGTAGGTATTTTTATTTTTATTTTTTACATACCTACACATTAAAACACATAAAACAATTATCTATAACATTACGTTATAAACGACCGCGGACCTCCCCCCCCCCCCCCCGACCCGTCAGGTCACACCGCCCGCAGAAGCACTGCGAATAGCCTCGAAGCACCAGACCATGACCGGCTCGCGCCCTGCAGTGATCGTTTCGGCGTCTGGTCTATTTTCTGCGCGAGCCGTGAGCGAATGTGTCAAGCCGGGTGACGGAGACAACCGCTTGTCGACCAGGCTGGAGAAATGCGCGTCTGATGCCAACGCCCACTCGCAAAGAGGACAGCTGCGGTGGTGTTTTTTTTTTTCTCTCTCTATAATCGAATATCAATTTTCACATTCGAAGGTCCATTTTTTTTTCAAATTCGAATTTAAATTCGAATTTAGAATATTCGTTGACAGCCCTACTTTGTATGTTAGTGCGTTAGCATTACTGTTAGCATTCCTACTAGCTCTACTGCAGCTTAGCGTCTGTGTGCTGTGTTAGCGTCCGCTTCTCCTCCTCATTCCACCCTCCATACACACACAAGCCCCACCCCTTCCACACCTGGCCACACCCACCTGTATCTTTCCCTCCTGTCACTGTTTTCATTTTGTCCTTGCTTCCGGTCATCCCTCCTTTTCCTTTCATCATTTTTAAAAACACATCTTTAATTCGTCTTTTTTACTCACCTGAGGTGTCAGATCAGAGTCGTCAGTCACATGACCTCAGACTGGAGTCATCGGTGACATGACCTCAGACTGGAGTCGTCTGTCACATGACCTCAGACTGGAGTCATCGGTGACATGACCTCAGACTGGAGTCATCGGTCACATGACCTCAGACTGGAGTCGTCTGTCGCCTGACCTCAGACTGGAGTCATCGGTGACATGACCTCAGACTGGAGTCATCGGTGACATGACCTCAGACTGGAGTTGTCTGTCACATGACCTCAGACTGGAGTCATCTGTCGCCTGACCTCAGACTGGAGTCATCGGTGACATGACCTCAGACTGGAGTTGTCTGTCACATGACCTCAGACTGGAGTCGACGGTGACATGACCTCAGACTGGAGTCGTCGGTCGCCTGACCTCAGACTGGAGTAATCGGTGACATGACCTCAGACTGGAGTCGTCGGTCACCTGACCTCAGACTGGAGTAATCGGTGACATGACCTCAGACTGGAGTCATCGATGACATGACCTCAGACTGGAGTCGTCTGTCACAAGACCTCAGACTGGAGTCATCGGTCGCCTGACCTCAGACTGGAGTCATTGGTGACATGACCTCAGACTGGAGTCATCGGTCGCCTGACCTCACATAACCTCCTCCTCCTCCTCCTCCTCCTCCCTCTCCTTCTGAGCTGTTGATCTGGAATTTCTCTTCCACTCATGTTGAACACATCATGAGGTTGTCTCTGAGTCAGAGGCGTTGTCTGATTGATTGAGGTGATGGTGGTGTCTGGGCGGAGCCTGTAGGAGGCGGGATTTGACACAGATGACACAGTGGTCATGTTGCCCTCTGTGATTGGCTCATAAACAACAGAGTTTCTGGACGTTGCTTCGGCCTGACTGACAGAAGCTCCTGAATCTCCAGTTTGTTGGCTTTTTTGTGTTAACGTCTCTTCGTCTCCACCCTGGGATGGTTGTTTCCCTTTGGGTCTGTGCGAGTCACATGATGTAAATGTCATCATCATGCCGACTGGCTGGCTGTGAGACAAAGAGCTGCTTTATTCCCTGCTATCTCACATTTCAGGGACTGGGAAAAAGTCCGTCCAGTGTCCACTCTGACTCAGACATGTGCAGTGTCACGACGGCTCCTCCAGGTGATGTTGACATCATCTCAGGTTTACAGAGCATGTGTGAAAGACACCCCCCCCCCCCTCCCCCCCCCGCCACTCTCTCATCACGTCTTATTATCATAATCAGGCTCCAGGTGCCTCGTTTGGCTCTTCGACACCGTCTGAGCGTGCTCAGTGGCTGTGTGTCTCGACCTGCTCCTTGGCGTCGTCGGCCAATCACCTTCCTCTGCTACGTCCTGTCAGTGAGTGCTCTGCGGCCATTGGCCAAACGGGTAAGAGCGTCTACCTGCTGGCATCTGATTGGACAGAGAGAAACAGGAAGTGACAGGAACAGCTGTCTTCTTTTCTCCTTTCCTCATGTCTCAACTCCTCTTTCTGACCTCTTTTACTATCTGCTCAGGTACTCTGTACTCTACCTGCTCAGGTACTCTGTACTCTACCTGCTCAGGTGCTCTGTACACTATCTGCTCAGGTACACTTTATTCTACCTGCTCAGGTACTCTGTACTCTACCTGCTCAGGTACTCTGTACTCTACCTGCTCAGGTACTCTGTACTCTACCTGTTCAGGTGCTCTGTACACTATCTGCTCAGGTACTCTGTACACTATCTGCTCAGGTACACTGTCCTCTACCTGCTCAGGTACACTGTCCTCTACCTGCTCAGGTACTCTGTACTCTACCTGCTCAGGTACACTTTATTCTACCTGCTCAGGTACTCTGTACTCTACCTGCTCAGATATAGCCCTCATCTCATATAGATGAGGGCATCATCCACTCCGATGTTGGGCCGGTATGCGAACTGTAGGGGGTCCATGAACGTCCTCACTCTGGGTCTTAAATAGGAGAGGACAAGCCTCTCAAGAGTCTTAATTATATGTGAAATGAGGGCTACTGGCCTGTAATCACTGGAGTCAACAGGGAGTCTCTTCTTAGGGACAGGAACTATGCATGATGTTTTCCATAGAGAGGGGATCTTTTGTTGTTTCAGAGTCAGGTTGAAGAGGTGTGACAGGATATTACATAATTGATCGGAGCAGATCCTAAGGAGTCTAGGGCCAATTTCGCCGGGACCAGCTGCTTTTCCTATATTAAGTCTATCTAAGTGAATTCTCCCTTCACCTGTGATGGCTGGAGCGTTATGGATGAGTCACTGATGTGGACAGACTGATCCGATGAACAGGTATGAACTGAAGGGGACAGGCTACGAGTACAGATGATGGTCTGTGGATACAGTTTGGGGGAGATGATTGTCCCAGTAGAGGGGGGAGCAGGCATCACAGGCAGCTGACAGTTTGAGGAGGCGGTGTCAGATCGTTTAAAGAAGATATAGGCCCTCCCTGAAGGCCTTTTTCTTTTGTTTTATCAAGCCTTTCAGGCTGCTAGTGATCCATGGCTTGTTGTTTGGGAAACATTTAATCACTCTACTCGGTATACAAATATCGCCACAGAACTTGATGTAATCTGTGATGATGTCAGTTAGTCCCTCACTGTCATCCCTGTGTGCCTCACAGAAGACATCCCAGTCTGTGAGATCTAAATAAGCCTGTAGAGATCCCTCTGCTTCCTGGGACCAGCATTTAACTGTCTTGGTGGAAATAGATATCCTTTTAACAACAGGGTTGTATGTGGGAGAGAGGTAGACAAGATTGTGGTCAGAACCACCAAGAGGGGGCAGTGCAATTGATTTATAAGCATCTTTTACATTAGCATAAAAAAGATCAAGTGTCTTATTTCCTCTCATAGGACAGTCCACAAACTGTTTGAAGGTGGGAAGTATGCAGGAGAGGGATGCATGTTTAAAATCCCTGGAGAGGAAAATAAATGAGTCTGGATATCTTGCTTGTATTCTGGCGATAGTTGCGTGAACTACGTCACAAGCCATATCAGCGTGGGCAGAGGGCGGACTGTAAATGCAATGGCGACGACTACTGTGAACTCCTGTGGCAGGTAATAAGGTCTTAAACTAACTGCTAAGAGTTCTGTGTTCTTGTTACAAACCTGCTGCTTGAGTGTAGCGTGCCCTGGTTTACACCACCCGTTGTTGATAAGCAGAGTAAGCCCCCCGTCTTTCCTCTTGCCACTCGCTTTGATATCCCTGTCCGCTCGCAGCGTTAGGAAGTTGCTGGTGTTGGTTTTAGTCTCCGGGATACAGTCCTTCAGCAACGTCTCAGTCAGGCACATCAGACTGCAGTCCCGGTAGATTTTTGGCTTCTGACGAGGGTTTCGAGCTCCTCCATCTTGTTATTCATGGACCAAACATTTCCCTTGATAACGGATGGAAGGGCCAGTTTGTAAGACTCTTTCCATATTCTCTCCCTCTGTGTCCTATTCTGTTTCGCCCCAGCACGTGCCCCCCTGCGTCTCCTCCATAATAGCTCTGTCGGAATGTTGTGACTTGTCCCTATATGTTTGGTGAAAGGAGCCATGTCTAGGAGCTCCTGTCGCGAGTAAACAATTGCCGGCTGGCTCTGCTGCTCCGGGATTGGAGAATTCCCCCGAATATCAGGCACACTAAAAGTGTTCTGATCAACTCCATTTCCCCTTAACTAGGCCCCTGTGCTTGTCGGAAACTGTGTGTTTTAAAATGAACACTTAAAAACTAAGAACATAAAACACGTATACAGCATAAAACACACCAAACTCAAGCATACACTGGAGCTGCTGTGAGCTGCTCAGGTGCTGTGCCGATAAGCCACCTTCATATCAGCATTTGAATGTAAAATAATCAGGACCAAGCATAGAACCCTGCAGAACCCCCCTGAGTGTTTCTCAGGTGTGTGAGTGGGAGGAGCTTGTTGCTCTGTGTCTGCTGGATGTCACAAAGTTTTAAAGATAAAAACATGTTTCAGCTGAAAAAGGCACTGAAGGTTTCAGACACCAGAACCAGAAACAGTTTGGATGTTATACGTTTAGTACAGTAGAGTCTGACAGTAGATGTTAACAACAGAGTTACAATTGTCTGGTTGAATCTTCGTCTGTGAAGAGGTAATAAGTGAGACGTTCACCAGGAAACACTGAGCAGGAAATAGATCAGATTTAATCCATTACTTCTGTTTCTTCTCTTTCTCTGTTTTCCTGTTTTTTGTCTCCTTCTGACTTCTCTCATCATTTTGCTTGTTTTACCACCATTTTACACTCCTCCTTCCCCCCTCACCTCCTCCTTCACTTCCTGCTGCTTGATTTTCTTGAACAGATGAAATAATACAGTGACGTTCTTCTTCTGAAACCAGATCGTATTTGACACGCAGTTTCCTGTTTGGTGCTGCAGGTGGCGTTGTACCACTCCTTCCCAACTCGCTTGCTGTCTCGGGCCTGGGGTCGTCTGAACGGGGTCGACCTCCCCACCTGGCTGCGAAAGCCTGTCTACTCCCTCTACATCTGGACCTTTGGGGTCAACATGCAGGTCAGAACAGCCATGGGTGTGGCTAATGATTGGGATGTCTGATGGTTGGAGTGTCTGATGGTTGAAGTGTCTCATTGTCAGTGTGTCTGATGGTTGGAGTGTCTGATGGTCAGTGTGTCTGATGGTTGGAGTGTCTGATGGTTGAAGTGCCTGATGGTTGGAGTGTCTAATGGTCCGGGTGTCTGATGGTTGGAGTGTCAGATGGTTGGAGTCTCTGATGGTTGAAGTGTCTGATGGTTGAAGTGTCTGATGGTTGGAGTGTCTGATGGTTGGAGTGTCTGATGGTTGGAGTGTCTGATGGTTGAAGTGTCTGATGGTTGGAGTATCAGGGTGGTTGGGGTGTCTGATGGATGGAGTGTCTGATTGTCAGTGTGTCAGATGGTTGGAGTGTCTGATGGATGGAGTGTCTGATGGTTGAAGTGTCTGATTGTCAGTGTGTCAGATGGTTGGAGTGTCTGATGGTTGAAGTGTCTGATGGTCGGGGTGCCTGATGGTTGGAGTATCGGGGTGGTTGGGGTGTCAGATAGATGGAGTGTTTGATGGTCGGGGTGTCTAATGGTTGGAGTATCTGGGTGGTTGGGGTGTCTGATGGATGGAGTGTCTGATGGTCGGGGTGTTTGATGGTTGGAGTATCGGGGTGGTTGGGGTGTCTGATGGTTGGGGTGTGTGATGGATGGAGTGTCTGATGGTTGGAGTGTCTGATGGTTGGGGTGTGTGATGGATGGAGTGTGATGGCTGGGGTGTCTGATGGTTGGAGTATCGGGGTGGTTTGTAGGGATGTCCCAATCCAGCTTTTTCACTTCTGATCCGATACCGATATTACAGCCTTGAGTTTTGGCCGATACCAATACCAATCCGATCCAAGCGCGTATTATACATATTCACTTATTTTGTTGTCAGTCATGTTAGAAAAGGTTTGATCAAATAATATTACTCTAACAAGAACAACTACTTAATCAGATTAGTTAGAATGATCCACAACAGTTGGTATGAGAAACTGACCCGTTTATTAACAGGGTTAAATAAACAAACTTTAAACTTTTAACATTAAATAAAAAATATAGCTGGTTTGCTTTGGCTGCTTTGGCCCCTTAATTAATAGAAAATAAATCAACACAAGAAATCTTTAAAATGTCTAACATTGAAATTAAAATAGCAGCAAGACTCCACACACTTGTGCTTTGGCCCCCTAATAAATAAAAAAATAACACCACAAAACATTGTTGACATTTAACAAACAACGCAGCCTTTCCTTTTCAGTTATTTTAGTAGTGTTTTTGTAGTCCATCCATGGCTCCAATTTCACTAATTGTGCTCAAAACAATGCCATCAGTGCTCTTTACTTAAACAGTAAGAGTGTAAACCAAATAAAAATATCACTCTCAAAAAACCAGAGCAGAAAACAAATAGTCAGTTAACTAAATTGACCACTACTCCTCCTACCCTTCCCTCCGTGTGTCTGCCGTCTGCATGCTGGCCTGGTGGATTGATAGTAAGAGCTGGAGTGGATCACTGAAATGGACTGCTTGAATCGCGGAGCGCTGGGCTGGCCGGAAAACCTGGAGCGGACTCTGTGAAAAACTGGATCAGAGTCCTTGGATCGGCATTTTTCCATGCAGTCCGATCCGATGCCCGTTTTTTGCTAATATCGCTGGCCGATACTCGGATTGGGATATCCCTAGTGGTTGGGGTGTCTGATGGATGGAGTGTGATGGTTGGGGTGTCTGATGGTTGGAGTATTGGGGTGGTTGGGGTGTCTGATGGATGGAGTGTCTGATGGTTTGGGTGTCTGATGGTTAGAGTATGGGTGGTTGGGGTGTCTGATGGATGGAGTATGGGGGTGGTTGGGGTATGGGGGTCCAGGTTATCAGAGTATGGGAATGAAATTATGTTTGTCTCTCTGTGGCGTCCAACAGGAGGCTGCGGTGGAGGATTTACATCACTACAGGAATCTGGGTGAATTTTTCCGTCGACGTCTAAAGCCTACGGTCCGACCTCTCTGCGGCTCCTCCTGTCTGGTAACGTTCCTCCTCCTTCTCCTCCTCTTCCTCCTCCTCCTGGAGGCATGGCCAGTGGGCTTCATTGTGCCTCCAAACACACGCCAGGGTTGAATAAAGTTCATTTGATGCTGACAGGAAGTCAGCCATCTTGGATTTCTTGTTTCAATTTTCAATCAATCAATTTTATTTATAAAGCCCAATATCACAAATCACAATTTGCCTCACAGGGCTTCACAGCATACGACATCCCTCTGTCCTTATGACCCTCACAGCTGATCAGGAAAAACTCCCCAAAAAAACCCCTTTAACGGGGAAAAAAAACGGTAGAAACCTCAGGAAGAGCAACTGAGGAGGGATCCCTCTTCCAGGACGGACAGACGTGCAATAGATGTCGTACAGAACAGATCAGCATAATAAATTAACAGTAATCCGTATGACACAATGAGACAGAGAGAGAGAGACAGGTAATGACAGTAGCTTACAACAACATTATTGAAAGTAATAATATTATAGTTATAGTTCTGGCTACTGTGGTACAATATGTTGAAAGTATGTATTAATATCTGTCAGTATACATGTGTGACAATAATCATATGTGTATAATAACAGTAGAAGTATGACTAATGACTAATGATGGCAGCAGCAGCAGGAGGCATCTGGCAGGACCA